TGGAATTTGATCGCCTGAAAAGATTTTGAGCAATTTAAACGCTCACTTTCGATGGTTTATTCAAATAGCTGTTCGGCAATTATTGCACATTTAAACACTACAACTGAGCAATTCTCTTTCAACGATCTTATTTTGTGATTCAATTTGCATAAATTAACGTTAAATGAATGATGCTCGTCGTCGTCTTCGACATGCGCACTCGCGTATCGTTACTATTATATCGTCGTAGAGACCATCATCACACAATTACGTTTGTTTGCGCAATTGCTTCTTGAATCGCTCAGAGCGTATTGGTTAATAGTTAATCGTGAATGAAATCGAATAAAAGAACACGTTAGCCGTATATGAAAATAACACTTTATTCAATTCAAAATTCTCCCAATAATACAGGAAAACGAGTGTTTTTGAGTGAGTAAGTGGTTGATTTGTTTATGTTCATTGGTTGGTTTATCATTATTTGCGTTGATGTTGTTGTTGTTGTTGTGTACCACTTAAAATACATCAATTATAGGCGATTGAATGCATTATTTCAGCAGTAAATTACATAAAACATGAGAATTATCCAAAGAGTACGTTCGAATGTACTCTGAAAATGATACTTTGTTGTTGAGATAAGAATAATTGATAGTTAAAAGTGGTTGTTCGGAATTGTAAGTGTTTGGACGTAGAATTTTGAGATACAGCGTAAGTTTGCGGGGAAGAGTGGACTTTCAATTAACTAGCCCAATGCGAGCATGATTGTGTGTATATGGTATCATTCATGAGATCTGGAGTGAACGGAAACTGAGACGTATTCCGTATATGTGATGTGAGGAAATTATTGCGGAGGAGACCGGAATTGTGGGCTTGGCGTTGCAATTGTTGCATTCTACTTTATAACTGAAAGCAGAGAACACTATTATGGAGAAACGAAGAAATTTTGCATGTGATTGGTTTGGAACTTGAAAAATTATCCGATGCACATACACGTATATATCAATTTCTATATATAGATGTTTAGGAGAATGATATTGGTGGATATTCGTGTCAACTTAATACGGATCCAGTTCTCTCGAGGGTCGGTTTCCTGCATTTGCGAGGTAAATTCGATCATTCTGAAATCGATAATGTGCAAATTGAATTGCTTCAAAAAATATTCATGAGTCGCATTCTAATATGTAATGTGATGATGCATGAGCGAAACACGTCGACTTGATCGAGTTTCTGTGAACAGTGCAAACGAATCAGTTACGTTACGTGTTTCTTGTGAGGAAATGAGGAGAACTCGTGCAGAAAAGAAACAATTGCTTGCACAAATGCAAAAATAAACAAACCGATGAGAAGTATCCTGAGTGATCGGGTAAGTGCAATGCAATACTTATTTCGTTATGCAGTGATAATTCACTAGATTAGATTACATGGGAATTGCTCAGGGCTTGATTTGTTTGATTGAAAGCTCGTGGATAAAATTTCTTAATTGAAATACATTAGGCAAATATGATTTCGATTATTATTAGTTCTGTTGTATTGTTTCGTTGTCCGTTGGATTAATTAATATCCGACCTAGGAGCAATATTTACTTTAGATGCGAAAGCTTCGAGTCTAAATCGGTCGTGTACAATCACAAATGTGCTTTTTATATGAGCTCACGTCGTCACTGAACGTCGTCGCATCTGTATACATTCCCACGATTCTAATCCGAGTCATTTCAAGCTGAAACATTGATAATGTTTGATCAAATGCTTTACAGCGAGTGAATTGAGTGCGATATTATTATGACAATAGCCATATGTATGCAGATTTGCAGCAGCAACAACAATAGCAATAAGCTAAAGTCATGCTTTCTTTAGATTGTGTGATATTATGTATTTTATTCGATTTGCACTCTGTTTCCGGTCGTTTCGGGTGGAAGGAAGGAAGGAAGTTGAAAAATAATTTCGGGATCAGGGAACGGATGAAAAATTGATGTTCGTGTAGGAAGTAAATTTGGTATTGGGGATATTCGTATGTAAGAGATGATGATTCTGTATGGTAACTGAGATGTAGTTATTTTTGTTATTATTATGAGAAATATCAATATCACTAATGTTTTAAATGTCACATTGAGTGAAGGGATTTTTTATAATAGAGGGATTTCTCGAATTCATTCATTATCATTATACGAGTTTACTCTATCCAAGTAATTTCATGCTTGATGCATAGCACACCTGATAACCGTTCCTCAGTGAGCAGTGGTCATTAAGAAATAGAATTTACGGGTAGCAAATTCCTTGACTTGCAGTCAAGTGGTTTCGAAACTGTCATTGCTATCAGCATGATCTTATGGAATAGCAGTCGTGAGTCATGACCTTGTTCTATTCAAGCTCGGGCATTACTACATCTAAGAATACGAGCAGGGTCATCTATACATTTATATGCCAAATTCATTGTTGTCATATAAATGAACATGAAATCATAAATGGACAAATGAGTTTAGAGGCTCTTCAAAAGGTTTATGAACCAACAGCGATCACAACATGCACTTGAATGACTGAATTATAGCGATAGATCTTTGTGCTATTGGACTGTTTTGATCACCGCATAATTGAGTCATTAAATAATTGACTCAGGACAGGTGACGACAGTGAATAACTTAAAATACGACCACCTGCAGGGATAACACACCGCTGTGGGAGGCATAAAGCAAACGAACAATCAGATTCTTGCGTATACACGAGAAGACGTCTAACAATGTTCATTCACATAGATGTCATTTTATTCGTCGATTAACAACAGTTTATATGCTTAAATTAGCTAGTCTTATTTCGACAAGATTAATAAATGGACTGTCACGTCGGATCTGTTTAATCAAGAGAAAGTTGCATTTGGCTAGGCTGAAACAATACGAAAATGGAGAAACATCGATAAACCTTAGAAGATAAATCCTCTAAGATTCTGAATGCATACCCATTGGAGAGCGAAAATATTGCACATTAAAGTTTCTGAATGCAGAAGAGATTGATGAGAAGAGAGCAAAATCTGTCGTGAAGGATGAAATTCTACTGGAAGTGTGAAATCAACTGAATTTTTTTGTGATATAGAATACATGCAATGTTATTACATTATGCACAGTTCAGAGTATGGGTCATAGTAGTGTTTACAAACCGTATTAGTGCATGATCATATTCAGCGCAATGCTTCTTATTACAGTTCCACCATATGTGGCCAGAACGACAGCATCAGCTGTTGAGGTTCGTGAAGGGCACAACGTCACCCTGTCGTGTCGAGCTTTCGGAAATCCGACACCGACCGTTATTTGGAGGCGACAGGATCGGCAAATCATCCGTTTCAATGGTGCTACCGGTTACGGGGGTCAGTTTCACGGCATTTGAATCTCAGTAAATCGTTTTCTAAAGAGCACCCTGTTGAAGTTATGTCGGTCGGGCTACAGAAATTGATGTTATGATTCGCATTCGATGGTTCTTAACAGGCGAATTCATTGAATCGTGGTGACACTTTATCTCCATTATCATGCAAAAACGAATTTGGAAAGTTGTTTGAACAAGACTGCGCAAATTTCAAAATCCGTCTATTGACTTGTCCGAAAATGAATAGAATTTCTGAATTTCAGCGAGTGTCTTCAATGGCACTGACTTGGTATTAACCAAAGTGAGTCGTAAACATATGAGTGAATACGTTTGCGTTGCAAGTAACGGCATTCCACCGGATGAATCATGGAGTGTTAAATTGCATGTGACATGTAAGTGCTCGATTTCGATTCTTTACAAATACTCTGACTAGACTTTTGTGTATGTTGAGTAACACTGAAGTATATCAACATTTAATTTCGTGAAAGATACAAAATATTGTGGTGAGAAACGCAGTTTCATTGTAGTTTGAATAAATGAAATCGAATCAGGGAGTAGGAATTAAGAAAGTGGCGATATTCAATGCTGAAAAAATCTACAATATTTCTGACATTTTTCTTTTGAATACAGTCGAGCCAATCGTGATACCGCAGTCGAAAGTTGTGATCGCCTCTCGAGGTGCTCAAGCTAGGCTGGTTTGCAATGTGGAAGCTTGGCCAAGGCCTACGATGACTTGGGAAAAAGATGGCGAAGAGCTGTTCGACTCCACTAACTATGCAATGGTAAGAAAAGAACCATCATTTTAGACATTGTTTTCAGTTCTTGTATCATCAAGTTACGGATTAATGGGCGATTACTCTCAACTACTGGAGTCGGTATCGGAAAATTCTGAAGTGATGTCTCAAAAATCATCAAATCCATCTCAGGATGATATCTTAATATGTGAGCGATCAAACAGTGCGATCAGTTTGTTTTTTCAGTCGGAACAAGTATCGGAAAAATATCGAAGTGTGCATATACTGACGATCAAACATTTGAGCGCAGATCACTTTGGTACCTATAGATGTACAGCACTCAACGACAACGGCATTCACTTCGCTGACATCGTTCTGAAAGGTTACTTCATCGATATTATTTGTAGTGAGTGGTCGGCCAGTGATATGTTGGGTGCGAAATCAATTTGAGAACAGTGCACCTTGTTCGTTTCTCTGTTATTAGTGAATTGGACAGTTCATGTCTATTACATTGTGTGTCCAACGTCATATCGTGACAATTTCAGTTTTGAGAGATCACTCCTGATTTTCATCTTCTATCAGTTTGATGTTAAAATTATATTATATCCGTTTGACACCAAAGTAGAAGTATCAGTTAATATCTAGAATGTTATGGATGGATAATATTGAGAAACATTATAAGTGAATGTTTGAATGATAGTTGTTTGGTGAGTCACGGAAATGTACCCGTAATGAAGTTCCAATAAACGGAACAAGTTTTCATTTTAACGATATAATCAGTGATGTTGCTATATTTTGTAGAAGGTCAAGGCTCGCCGCGCAGTAATTTGGTACTCCTCACTGAAGGTAATTCCTTGAAATGTTAAATTATGACTTGATTATTTCCAGTCGAATTGGTTTCTTCGATCAGAATTCTCTGCCGTTTCTTTCATTCGTTTCTGTCATTATCGTTATTCAGCAAACAATTACCAAATGATGTTTTCCGATTAAAAAGTTCACGAGTAAATGAGTAATTATGAGAAGCTTCGATAAACGGCAACAGCAAGCTTATGCGAGTGGATATTTTGGCTTGAATAGGTCGAAAATAGGCAAGCTGTTAACATGCTTAACATCTTTCGAGCTTGTCATCGTTTGACTGCTCATTCGAAGCGCATGGATTTGTATTTTCAGCTTTTAGAGAAATTTCTTTTTCTAGTTGAAATTTTGATCGCAATTGTGTTATAGTGGCTCTCACGATCTTTTTCATCCGTGAATCCACACTTTGCTTTCGAATTCGCTAGATGCTTATGCTCACAATTTCAAAGAACTGAGTTCAATATATTTATTTCTTTCATCAGTCTATTATCAAATGGCTATTGCATCAGTTGAGAATTCCACTTCGAAACTGTTTCTGTCATGGGTTGAAATTAGGTCTTGCATGAGACCTGTAATCTTTTTTTTTCTTTGAAAATTTGGTGGTTCGTGCAATTTTTGAGAGTGTTTTTATGATCATTTGTTGTGTTTGTCTTTAAAAACTGGTACTCATTTTCCAGTCACTTTTATTCGAATCAGGTGCGTTTCTTCATCGCGATTCATTCATCATTCCATTGTTCCGAGTAAATTTATCAAACTCGGAAGGCTCATCGGAATTCGTCTATTCCAACATTTCAGCACCTTTGCGTAATCAAATTCTAAACTTCATTTGAAAACAAATTCTAAACTTTTCGTTTGTTAGCCACATCTGTATAGGATGAAGACTGTCACAAAGAAATTTCCTTCTTGCATGCCCACACACTTTTCTAGGTTCTGGATTAGACGAGGATGCTGAGCAGTCTGACGACGGTGATTCCGATAATGAGCCTGGCGATGGTGACGAAGACGGTGACTATGAGGATTTAGATTCAGATGATGGCTCAGAAGTAGAGACGACTGCACAAACGGAACGGTTGCCGACAACGTCAAGTATCGCACCACCAAGTTATTTTCGACGTCCTTATATACATCCACGACAAGGAGGTGTGTATGTGTAGTGTAATGTACAAGTTAAATTGCTTGTTTTGATTAGCCTTTGTTCGTGATTTTGATTAGTCGTGCATGTGATCGTATTCGTTGTTGTTGTCGTTGGTTTGCTTTAGCACTTGTCATGTCTTCAAACGGATTGTATGGTTCAAGCTTTTCGTATGGTGCAATATGACGAGGAGCTCTACTTAGCGCTCTAATGGCCGCCGAGCATGCATGTCGTCTCAAGTTTTCAATCACTTCAATATCTGTTCTTCGACAAGATTTGGTGGCTTTGGCTAGTGGGATTGTTTTTATCATAGATATAGCTAATTTTCTGACTGATTATATTGCTAAGTACAGAGAGNCTCCATACTTCTATCTGGTTTTCATTTTTCCCATACCTTTACATAGCATTGATGACTTTCCCTCATGATCATTCTGTCTCGATATACTTAGATGCAGAGTCAGTGAATCGCTGAAATATTTTATGGAGCTTCACTCTGGAACGGTAACCTATGAGAGCACAAAAAAATGGTCAATTATAGTTGAGAATGTTTGTGCCAAGAGGAACGAACTGTTTTGGAGGCAATTGAAACGAGAATGGTTGCGTTCTGAACATTGCATTAATTACTTGCAATTTTCTTAAGTTAAAGTGTTTAAACGCGAACTGAATGAATAATGAACGCATTAGTGGAGGAAACAGAGCAAGAGAAAAGTGGAAAATTAGGAATAGACTGTTTCAGAGAGATGAAACTGAGATTTCATTGAAAGTTTGTGACTTTTGATGTGATTATGGATAATGTTTAGCTAAAAATATGATATTGAGACGCAGCAAACGCAGATAGTTTCTATAAAACTGAGAATCTTGTTCGTGACAACTCGTAGAGTCTCAATTACTAGCTTGAAGTAGTTGCTTGTGGCTCGACAGATCACAAATGCTTCCATACTTTCAACGGATGATTCAACGACATGGAATCATCTGCGAGAATATATTGCTGAATGACATAAGACAATATCTCATATCATGGATTGATATCTGCTAAACTGAAGTCTCTCCAGCCCGTTATCATTTAAGCTTAACAATAATCCATCAGTATGATGATGAGATCATGTTGAGAATACCTGCTGATATGCATAATGAGTATTGGGCCGTTATTGGTGTCGTTCGCTTTTACTTGCAAATGCTGCGCGAATGCAACGTTTTGTGGAACGATACAATATAATAAGTGAATTAAATTGCTTCATGCTTCACGCTTTCTGGAAATGGCATCTATATGACTGTTGTAGACACATTCGATGTGGTCACGAATGGCTGGCTGTTTTACTTTGATATTGACGATGAATTTGATAAAATTCAATTTAAGATTCCATTCAACACTACCACGAACATCAACAGCAAGAGCAACAGCAACGACAGCAGAGGTTTCCACCGAGCAGTGAAGGTTCGTTACTTTTTCATAAGAATTAATATTCTTGAATAGAAACAATATCGCTTTGTTCCTAACAATAAGCGAAATGTGCTACCACTTTGGCATAGATATTCAATTGCAGAAGGATTATATATAGTAAATATTAGGCTTATTAGCGGATTCAGCTTTTAAAATTCTTTACATTCGGAATTGATTAACAACTTGACCTCTGGATAATTTTTCAACAGTGGGTTAAGGATCCATCATTGGTCATTGTTTTGTTTGAAATTGCAGGATCGAAATCTTCGTCAATAATACCTAAATCGCTAATCTATGTCACGTTATTGGTGCTCTTAATAACACGAGTGCGATTATGATAAAGCAGATGTGATCGTCATGGATTGAACTTATTTCACATGTAATTTTTGATATTCTCAGAAACGTTCTGTTGTTCTCGAATAATTTATTTCGCGTTTCGTTTCGTTTCGGTGTCTTTCAGCGATACTTTGAGTGCAAATTCANTGGATTCTATATGTGGTGCATAAGCAATGAAAAATTCGAACAAGCGAATGAAGAGTCCAAGTTGAAAAGTTGCTTGAATTTCAAACCAAACTGCATCAGATTTTCCTTTTCCAGCTGCGTCAATAAATGAATTGAGTAAACGCAAACCGATTCTCTGATCACATAACGAACGCAGTGATATTGTTTTCTGGAAATAGTAATGATGAATTGACATTGTTGTGCGTGTATCATATACATTTGTTCCGCGATTGATGCGTTGTGGTATTTCATTGCTATTACGTTGTTGATATTCTTCAATTTGTTTCAGTTCTATTGTTTGTACGGGAGTGTGTTTGTTCGTCAACTTGTTCTGCAGATTTCTGCAAATCTCCCAAAAAATTCGTAATGGTAATTTCGGAAAGTAAATCAGTTGTTGACCGTAAGATAATTATGAGCCACACACACTTTCTTGTAAGAAGTTCGAAACTGGTAAAGACTGCAAATATGCTCTTATCACCAGTTAACTCCCAATAACAGATTCCGGAAGTCTTGTGTTTTACGATTGCTCTGCGACGGTATATTTGGAATCGTGTCTGTTGAACTTCTCGAATCCGTTGTAAATTTTGTTATTGAATTTAGGGATTTCAAAGTATGAATCGTGATGCTCTACTAGCAATCATAGGCAACCTGACGGGGAACATTCGGAAAAGTGGTTGTGAAAACCATAGGGATCCATTCAATTTCATTTCATTCTCGTCCGAGCATTTCGTTATAGGTATCTTTTTATGTCTTATCGTTACTTTATCTTCACTAGAACTGATGACTTGAGTCAGATGATCCAGACAGCCTTAGATTCGACCAGAGAATTTATATCGCCTGATAGATAGAATGAACAATTTGAAGTAGAACTTGAGTTCTAGAAGAAGTTGAGAAGTCATGCTGATTTAAGCTGATAGTGGAGAATAAATCTACGGAACTCAGTTACTTGAAATAATTCCCTTAAGCATTCATTGCTCATTTCAAGTAAATTGGCACACTCTCTGTTGTGATCAGTGAAAATGTCTATTAAAAAAGTGCAGTGAAGCCGACTTCTTGGAACGTTAGCGCCGAAAGGTTCCTCGGTTCGGACCGAAGTGGGCTAATATCCCTAAGTAAAGCTTCACTACCAAAAGTCCAAATCATATTCCAAAATGATGAGGTACGCTCCGAAAAGGGTAATTTTGTTTTCTGATTGTGAGGAGAGTGTTGATCGTATGTTTTGAATCGAAGCAATTGCTCGAGGGTTTCACTGCAACTGCTTTAT